CCTTTTTCCTCTACTACCTAACCCTGCGCAACGTTCTCCCAGCGCAGTGCACTCATCGTCACCGTCTTCGGTCCTTCAATCGCTCTGCCCTTTTCGACGATACATACATCGAAACAGAGATTTATCTCTGTGATAGCTAACTAAAAGCAGATAGGTGACACATGGCTTCTCCAGCAAAGCGGGGCGAGGCCCATGTGAGCTCATTGCCTCAGCGGTCGCCCGAGTTCAGCTGTTTGGAGATACGGGGTACCTGGAATGGCAATGAGCTTGAGCCAGTAGGCCTTAGAATCTCCCTTGAGGTAAGCTGATATTCCCTGTTGATGGAGTTTCGTACTGATCGCTGTCATTCTCTCTGTCAACATAGGTTCGATGCGTCCCAAACACGCAACTTCAGCTTCTCAACAGCAGATCTGTAAATATGTCTCTCATCAAGACCTTCTCCGTCCGCCTCCAATCCAACGAATGGGGCCAAGGAGACCAGTCGAGTGACAGTTCGCCTCAAAGCCCATTGTTCGCTTTTTCCGCACCAGAATCTGATGACGGTACCACTTCTTACAATTCAGGCACTCCTGAGGGAGACGTCTTTACCGCAGCGAGAGAATCTCGCTTCAGCTCCCAGGATACAACTGTGTCTTGTTCCCTTGAAGCTGTTGCAGGCTGCGGCAACGACGGGGAACTTGAGCCCTCGTCGCACCTCTTCTCCTCCGCATCCAATCTCTCTTCTGGACTGCGCTTGAATGTTGCAGATTGTGCCGACTGGATCAAGATGCAGAACCCAGGCCGTAAGAGGAGTGCATCTGACGCATCCCTTACTGATTCTGGGTCTGATTCAGAGCGAACCAAGACTTCCGGCAAGAAACCGTCCGCAAAGTGCATCGTCAGCGAGGTTGGCGGGGTTAAAGCAGCCCCGGAGCCTGATAAGCAGACTCAAAATGCAAGCGAGGGGAAGGAAGGAGCGCTCCAGTCTTCAATTCAGTCTTCAGAGCGAAGCTCTCCCAGGAAACATTCCAGGACACTCAGCATGATCCCGAAGTCCGTAACTCGGCTGGACAAGGACGTGGTGAGAAGAACAGTTTCTATTCCAGCGCCGAATGGGTTGCAGGATACATCAATCGCTGCACATAGTGAGAAGCCTACTGAAGAAGAAGATGCTCTCACCTCAACCCAGACAACCATGACTGAAACATTCCGCAGGAAGTGGGAAGACTCTGACTTCTTCGTCACGTCGACTCCTGAGACGTCTCCTGGCTCTTTTGAAGCGAATGAATCAGTAGCCACAGAAGATACCAAGGGCACAAGATCTAACTCTGACACGGACTCCCCTGAGGCGACCCTTGGCATGCACAATGTCCTAGGTGGTCTTCGTATTCAAACAGAGTCCGAGGGTGTGACAATCACCATTGACCAACACGTTGAGGCGGACACATTGCGCCATAAATCCGATCGAGACATGACGGCACCTAAAACGCCGGTTTCAGAGCACGATGATGCGGACCAAACTCTGGCGCATGATCCTAAAAATCACCTAGCCTGTGGTTGCGAAGCCTACCAATCGTCCATGAGCGAGCCCAAACTCGAATTTAAAAATGGAATCCTCTTCATTCAAAACCCTGAAAATGTAAGGCCAGCAATATACAAGTTCGCCGTAACTGTGTCTGTCCTTCTTGAGAAAGACAAGTCGAAGGGATGGAGTAATCTGGTCATTCCTGGTCTTCCTAGGATGAGGGCTGGCGAGAGTGGATTTTTCCTATTTCAGATCCCCGAGAACCATGGCTTAGAGTTCCGCACTACCAACTTGCAGCGGTACAAGATTGTGGAGAACTGCTTCTTCGCTGAGTTCGTCAACCACGGAGACCTTGTCGTTCCTTTACGGGTCTGCGACCAGAAATTCTACGGCATCGTCAAGGACTTCACCGTGGACCAGGAGATTCGAGCCGACTATCGAGTTATTGCCAGCGCCAATCACAAAGGAAAGGGCATCCAACCAGATGTGATGATAGATTACACTGCGATGTGCTCCTTGAGGTTGCATAATCGCTGCTTCTGGGCGGAAAAGTGTTGCTTCTTCCTACGTTTGGATGGCGGCCCTGACGGCCGTTTTCATTGCCGGCTTGAGCCTCAGGAGACGGGCCTGCAAATGATTAGCTTGGAAAATGAAGGAATTCCAGTCGGAGTTTCGTACCTCCAGGTGGTTTGCTCTCCCAAAGAGCTGGATATGTTTGGTGTGACTTGGAAGGTCAAGCTTCCTGGCCAACAAGCTGTAAACTGGCTACCACGAATCTATCCAGTCTCGTCAACTACTTGTGAGAGTAACAGGAACGATCTCCGTCAAATATTTACTGAGCTCGAAGCGGAATGTCGCAAGGAAACAGCACACCAACTCGCAAGTGTAGTGGAGTTCGATCGGGAAGACGTCTGGGGAAAGCACAACGCAGATGACTGGGAAGATCGCAAAGAAGATCCTGTTCGGTCAGGAAAGGATATCTTCGACGAGCCATTTTCGCCTGAGGCAGAATCCCAGACGTTGAGGACGTCGTTCGCGAACGTAGTGGCGGACTCCATGGCATATTGTATGCAAAGCTTAGTCATAAGCCTTTGTATCTCGATGATCTGGGTGATCCTCACATCGTATCTTGAGATCCCTCCTTGCCCCAGCGTGTCGAACTGTGCTTTAAGAGACTCAGACACAAACTTGACTGTTGCAAACAGCGAGGTCCTCGGACTAGCGTTTCCAAGCGATGAAGACCGGGAGTCTCGGCCTGAGCTATTGGATAAAGAGTTTGCGCCAGAGCGAGCCATTGCGAGCAACACGCCTGAAATCATTCAACAGACTTATGTGGCAGATGTTGGTTCAAGTCGTCAGGAATCTGGACAAGCGGATCACAATGAGACAGAGGACATTCGAGAGAATGTTGTGGAAGGCAAGGGCACGCCAATCGGGAGTGTCAACTCTGGTGGCAGCCGTGATGAGGATCAAGGTCATTTCTCCCTCAGGGATAGAATTGATTACTGGCTTGGATGGATGGGACCCGTTGGCGAGGAGCTCTAGCCTTCCTGCAGAATGAGGGCCTCCTTCCACTTGACAGAGCAGAGCTCGAACCACAAGCTGGTGGCAACATTGAAGGCTGGAAAATTGTATCTGGTTGATGTCATTTAGATATTCACATGGTTACAGCTCTGAAATGAAAGATGTTGTCAAATTATTAACCGTTGTCATTGTTCGGCCATCTCCAATGGCTTCAACACCTCCCCTATGGCCCATTTTAATACATCAACCATGGGCAATGTTCCCTTCCCAGGAGCGACAGCGACAGCGGCATCAGTTCTCACGTTCGTCCCTTGTCCCACAATTCTGATCAACTCGTCAGTATCAGAATTTCTGGCGTTCTGGTACCGATCATTGTCAAGATCGCTTTCGGGTAACAGCAGCCACGCATGATCTCGTACGTATCGTGGCCAAACAATATCATCCACATAGCCCGGCGGATCCGTCCAAAAGTTCTGCGGCGAGGCGTCATCCTCTGCCTCCAGATCAACATGCTGCTTCGCATCCTCGGAAGCCGACGATCCCCTGTGCGGCAGCGGGGGGACAGGAGCCGGCCCAATAGTCACATAGCCACTCCTCCTCTCGCGACGTTCCTTGACAGAATCATACGGCGCCGGCAAAAACAGACGCACATCGAGCTGCTCATGCACCGGTCGTAGCACATGCTCCCTGACCTCCGCCTTGGGTGGACTAAACAACAGAAACCCCTCGAAGAAGACAACCGTCCGCTTTGCCCCATCCCCCGCCAGAGCTGGTCCAACTTGCCGCAGCTTGTCAGAAACCTGGCGCTGCTGCTGGGTAATCGTCTCGTCGCTGACGCCCGAATCGGACGCCTCGTTGAGATCCTCCTTGCTCTTCAGGCGTGGCGGGAGCCGGCCGTGCTGCCGGACGTAGGACAGCGCTGCGGCCATGAACGGCACGTCGATTGCTTCGACGGTGTCCCAGTCTTGGACTGTTTTGCCGGATGCGGTTGTCGTGTATGGAATTCTGGATTTGTTAGCTTGTTTGCTTTACTCTTTACTAGGCACTTTTGAAGTTCTACTGTTGGTGGGGGTGGGTGAGATTGGGTGTACTGACCGATCATCAGGGAGGTAAAAGTCATCCTCGTGCATGATGAATGTCTGCAGGTTTTCGTTGGCATGCGCGAATATCCGCTGCAGGAGCCGGGCTAGGGTTGTCTTGCCGCTGGATGAGGGGCCGGAGATTCCGATTATGGTAACGTTGTTTTTTGGACGAGCCGTCGCTTCAGCTTCGGCTTCAGCCATTTTTGAGGTTTGAACTGCTCCTGCTTCTCTCTTCTTCTTGTTTTCAGTGGTTGATTTGAGGCGGTGGGTGGGTTGTGCGGGGTGGTTGTTTGCTCTATTGGGTTTATGGACTGCGATCAAGTCCTGCAAGCGAGCTAGATGATAACTACAAGTCGTTACTAATGGTTCATAAGAGACGAGGAGGCATTGAGAAAAAGAAGATAAGCAGTTCATTGCTTAAATCGGCGATAGTGGGGTATGACTAGGAGTGGGGTTGATTGGATCCGGGACCTGGCAGAGACTAAGGTTCTGCCTCAAAAGTCCATAACACATATACTTCAGATGGCACGAATTCCTGGGCCATTTTCAAGAGAACGATTGTATATTCATTGTAGACATTATTCTCCTTCCATCTTGGAGCGTTGGCGGAATGTCAATAACCACGTGATCTCCGCCGGCGGGCCTTATACAATTACCATTTTCGGTAACCACTTGGGTACCGCTTTTGGTACGACGGAGATGGAGAAAGGGAGACGGCAGTATATTAAAAGCTTGTAACGCAAATCATGGTATCTATCCTCCACATGAACACCAGTAAACAGAGGCTGGAGATATATGTACCCGAAGACGTCCCTCTCTCATAACCAGTTTCGCTCAAGAAGTAATATACGTTAACGGAATATTGTGGGAATCTAATGTTCGCTAAACACCTAAGGCCCAAATATGGACCCAGGGCTCTGTTGAACACCGTTTTGTGCCTCAGATATTGCACGGCTTCCGCCTTTTTCCTGGTCGATACCGGTGACTGAAGGTGTTTTGGATCGTGAATTTCTACTGGGCGTCATCAAGATACCCCCCGGAGAAAGAAACACCAAACCGGTCGAAACTTTTCGCTTCTTAGGTGTGATGATGTCTGGTTCGCCGTCCAAAAGGGTCTTGCTGTTAGACGACGGACGTTTGCGCTTCGGAGGAGATTTTTCCGTATCGCCTTCGTCGTCAGGAATCGCCAGTTTATGGCGATCAAAAAAGCCTGATGGTGAAGAGAGATATGCGACATGGACTGAATCCTCGTTTTCGGGCATTGGGATGAATCGTTCGTTCTGGATAATAGAGCTCATCGTGCTGTCGTCAAGCAGATCTTTCTCGGCTTCTTGCATCTCCTTCTCTGACATTGCCTTTCGGCGCTTTAACATCTTATCCTCCAATGTGTCTTTGAGGACAAGAGTCTCAACATATACAGGCCGAGTTTGTCCGATTCGATGTGCTCGTTTGATGGCCTGGCTCTCCACATTCGGCTGCCAGATGGGGTTGACGAAGAAAACACGGGACGCATTGGCGATATGGAGCCCGTGAGATGCTTGATGCAGGTCCATCAAGAATACTCGGATCTCTTCGCTCTCTCGGAACAGGTTCAAGTAACTTGTACGGAGCTCGGGACTAAGCGTACTCGCATACATGCGGTATTCAATGCCGAGCAGATCAAGACCTTCAGCAATCCAAACGCCCGAATTTGTGCTGTCATAGAAGATGATAATCTTCTCCTCAGCGTGCAACTCCATAACCCGACTAAGTAGATACGACAGCTTAGCCGACGTTGTACCAAGCAACTTGGTCTGTGCCAGGGGAGAATCCGCTGGCAGTGACTTCGTAAGACCTTTAGAGAATGACTTCTTCGGTGCCTTCTTCGACTTTGGGAAAGTTGCAAAGCCTAACTCAGGGCCTTGCTTCTCTGCTGCCTCCGCTTGCTCACGGCGGGCTTTGATGCCCGCTCCAGCAAGGCCTTCGGCTGGGTCAACCGATTTCAGGTGTTCTTTGACAAACTGCTGCGCGCGACAAGCCTGGTAAATTCCCATATGAAGGGGCTCAGTGTCTGACTTCGAAGGGTCAAGTGCCCACAAAGCTCGAGCATGAGAAGGGAAATCGCGAATGTAGACACCTAGTTCATTTAGATGCCTAAAAGCATTCCAAGCTCCGCTGGAGAATGCCTTTTCGGCTATCTCTATTCCCTCAGTCAATGTTGTGATATCATCCTGTCCCATATGAGCTCTCTTTTTCTCCAGGTATTCCAGAGCATTCTTCACGGTCGCCGAAAGATCCAGATTCGAGCCGGCCCACCAAAACCCAGCCTGCCGGAGATTGTTGATCAGAGTCCTCAAGTGCTTCTTGTTTTTCGCATGAAACATGTAGTCATCGCCTTCCCGTTCTGAGGTTATTGCGTTGACTGCCAAAACGAAGACAAACAAGTTCAGGTTTAACTTGTCGTAAAACGTTGGCTCCAAATAAACAACCTTGTTGTAAAGCTTTGGCAGAGTAGTCTCGCTATGAATCACTTCCATGCGATGCCGTACGACGAGGCTCTGAAGCGTGGCGCGAAGAGACTGCACTTTTCGACGTTTCCCATCCTTCCCTACGAGTCTCATGTACCTGGCCCACTCGGCATGGTCATTGGCCTGAGGGTTCGACCATGGCTTCAGATCAAAAAAGCTGACCACTATCGGTTTCAACTTCCTGAGATCTTGGTCATCTCTCGCCTCTGTCTTCCTCTTGCCTTGAAGGACAGCTTCTGTAGCCTCTGATAGATCGGTGTCGCTGCTATTATTCGTTTCGTGTGAAGCCAAGCTCACCTCCACTCCATAAAGTCCGCTGGACGGTGTTCCAGACACAATCCAACGGCGTTCAATATGCAACTTGTCCAGAAGATACCTCGTTCTGGAAGTTTGGCTAGATCCGGCTACGTTGTGGCCTTCGTCGATGATGATACGAAGCCAATGAAGGCTAAACAACGGGGAATCCACTGTGTTGAAGACGCCGCGTCTGTTGTTGACTGCCTCGCCGGCCTCCTGGTCGAAACGCCATCTTGAAAACAAAATAATGTCATACTGCAAGAGGTCATCTGAATTGGGAGTAGCGTTCGACATGTTTCTTAAGACGAGAACTTTAAGCCCTTGACTGTGCCGAGCAATTTGTTCTTCCCAGTGGTCAACCAAGTTGGGAGGTACAACAATCAATGTCCCCGAAGTAAGCCGCACAAGGTGAGGAGGTGGCCTGGGATATGCGACGCCAGAGCGACCACTGTGCCGTGTAGGTGGTGAAGGTATCTTATACGCGCCTCTATTATCCTCGCAAGCTTTGATGCACCTCGCAAAGGTCATTCCAGAACGGCCGAGGCGATCAAAATAGCTCTTCCATGGCATCGAAGACTGGCCAGCAGCTCTCGCCGCCATCTCGACAAGACTCGCACATTTTTCACGTTTGACTTCCCCTTCCCGATACAGAGGCGGTATGGCAGGGACATGACAGCGTGTTGACAGGATGACAGCCAGGCAGATCAATGTCTTACCACACCCCATAGTCTCCGCTAGAATGCCCCCACAAGCCTCTGAATACAGCTTCTTTTCTTTGTAGATCGTTCCTTCTTCTTCGTCGTAGTAGTATTCGCGTCCATTGGGACCCTTGAACATCTGCAGACGAGGGTCCAGCATCTGGGCTGGCTGCGCTTCACGTTGAACCATAAAAGCCGCTGAACGACGCTGGTATGGGTACAACGGTGTTTTGAGCCCTGCGACACCAGCATCGAGTTCTGTGTTATCAGCATCCTCCGCAAAAAGTAATTGCCGCATGGCCAGCCTCGCGTGAGGGTCTTTCACGGCTTCAACCTCCGGCTCGGGATTTCGCAGTGTGTTGAATATGTACCACAGTGACTCGTCCTCGGTTCCAGTATCGTTCGGATTGCCATCGGTAATTTGCTCATCCGAAAAGAAGATCCCATCCCATGCATCGACGGACCTATTGATTTTCGACATGACAACTTTAAGTGCCTCCCTCAATGTCTTGCTTGAACGGTCAATGTACTTGTGCCCAGCATCGTCCGGCAGGACATAGACACGGACATAGGACCATTGCGGATGCTTCACATATGTATAGTCGCATGTTCGCACCCAATTGCTTTTTTTCAGCATTGCAATCTGTGCCCCCGGGTAGTTGTCGTCGTCCGTCCAAGGGTCGGCATCGCCATTGTGAGGTTCGTTGCGTTTTCTCAGGACGCCGACGGCAACGTATGAGTTCAAATTTGATAAGAACAAGTCTTTTTCTTGGATGAATTTCTGCGCAGGGGCCATAGTCCTATTTCCAGAGCCCGATAATAGTGATGAGGGCGTGGGTGTGGTCGCAGGTGTGATTTGCGATGGCGAGTCGTGCATGGGAGATCCGTAGGGACACTCGCTAAGACTCATAGTATCTGCTTCCATCATCTATGCCATGTCAGTGCATGGACTAATCAGATTCCCTTTACAAATCCATGTGGGATAGCCCAGCAGCAGGAGGATGACTGAATTCTGTTGGGAGAAACGCACCTGCGACTGAATTGACGCAACACCAGGTTGCGGTCCCAGACCAGCCAACGCCATACCGTGAAGCCAGTAGATCTTGTCCAACGCAATATTCAATCACTCTGCTGCCATTCAATCCCCCGGCCAGCCCTAAAGCCCTGTCGCGAGGAATCCGCTATCAGCAGGTGACCATAGAGCGTCACGGATTTCAGCCTTCTCAGGTCAAAGTCGGGGAGTTGGGCGAAGATGGTTGCAGGGCGTCTCACAGACCTGCTGAGTTGGCTCAAGTCTCAAAGCAGAATCATCCTACAGATTGATGCATCCATGCTGGATGTAGAAAACCTTAAGTCTTCGCCAGTCAGAGAATAATCCTTTGGCATTATTCATGGATGCGCCAGCCGCGACGAGAGACTCCGCGAGCTGACAAACACCATTGGTTCATAGCTTCACCGCCCTCGGACTTCTCTTTTCAGTTATATGAGTTGTGTTAACTAGTTACCAGATGCGCATGACTTATCTAAGCTGAACCTCAAAACAACAACATAGAGACTGTCAAGGAGATTGTCATATTGACCACATTCAGATTCAGCCTACTTAGATCATTAATATATTCTTACTTTTGATAACATGTCAGATGAAATGAAGAAGGGATAAGTGAACTTAACATAAGTTCACCTAACGCCATATTGTCAACACAAAATGACAATATATATCAACAAGAACAACAGCCTAGATAGAACAAACGAGAGCCTCCGGAAATGGGATAATGCTTACGTTGACTAAAAGCAAAAAGCCGCCTCCGCGCAATTTGATGATCCATGCTAAACAGAAACGACAATTTGGGCAGAAAAGTCTTACTGAGTGAGGAAATCCTCAATCTCAAAACCAACACGCTTCAAAGCTTTTTCTTCCAGCTCCTTCTGGGAGCCGACTAGTCTGCGCACCACCACAGTACGTGCATCTTGCAGACGAACCTCGACCGGGTTGCCATTGTAGCGATCCAACTCGTCTTTCTCACAATCGCGGATGTAGACAGTGATGTCCGGCCCAACACACGCTCGCCAGAGAGATGCCATCCACTGCCAGTGATCCAAGGGAGCGTACGAGTCGTTGATCGGCACAGAACACGCGAATGCATCTGCGTTAGTGAGTTGGTAGCGAGGAACGAGTGCAATGGGGACTGGTGAGAGGCCGGAGCCGGAAACTGACGAGGCTGATTCAGAACCGTTCTCGCTCGATTGAGCCGGAGAGCTTATCTTCAGACCAGCTGTCTTGGGGATGATGGTTTTGGGAGAAATCTCAGAGGCGGAGTCATCATCCTCCGGCTTTGATTCTGAGGGCTCCCGTGTGGGCTTCACGAAGCTCACAATGTCGTCCGAAATACGATGCCATACCGAAATGGTGTTGAGATAATCGACAGTGGCATCGCCCATCTGTCCAGCTGCAGAGTAACTCCCCCGCGAATGGACCTCGGGGCCTTCAAACACGCGGGGTTTGTATTTTCCTTCCTTCTGGAAAACAGTATTGAGATAATCGACCACTGCTTTTACTTGTGCAGGATCCTGCCCGTCAACAGCGATCACGGGTCCTCGCTGCGGGATAGAATTGTCACGGAAGGACGGAATGAGCGGAGGGGATATCTTGGCGAGAACTCTGATTTTGTTGAGGAAGGGGATCGTCATGACCGTGGCCTCAAGACTTGATCCATCGTGGGGGAACGGAGTGATAGGCGTCACGGAGCCGGGGAGAGGCACTGTGGTCTGTAGTGGTGGAAGCTTCAGACTTGGATCATGCGGTGCATGGTCTCCGCTATATCGAGCCGTCCTCGAAGGATGAACCATTTGATGCAAAGTCCGAGCGTTGGGTCCATCCGTGCGTGGAGTATAAGGAGACATTGGATATGTGGACTCGGGGCTTCGGTCTCGATGGACATTTGGTTTCAAGGTTACCTGGGAGTTGAACCGGCGTCGCTTCGAGTCTGGGGACCGGCAACCGGCCTCTTCATATGGTATTTGACGAGCACAAGAATCGCCGTGATTGTCTACTCGGATGGGATTTGGTTGTCTGTCAGAATCTCTAGCCCGGCGTTGATAACTTCGGGCCATGACCATATCAGGATGTGGAGATGCTGCGGATGCACTGGGCGTGAAAGGGGCCTCTGGCGACACAGGTGGGGTCATCACTCGCCCACCACATCGGTTGCAGACTGCAGAGCCCGGAGGGCTGTGGCTAATGCCAGAGCCGGCTGCACGGGAATTACCATCCCGGCCATAGCGACGGGGCTGGTACCGGTATTCTGGGTACTGCTGCTGGTGACGAGCTTTTTCTTCCTGTCGTTGAAGGTCAGCAAGAACGAAAGAGAATAAACACAAATAAGCTGTATACCTCAGCAAGAGCCTTCCATCCATCCTTGATATCTTGAGGGAGTTTCCTCCATTGCTCTCCAATGATTTTGGAGATATCCGGGTTCGCAAGCCCTGGATTTTGAGCCACTACTGCGGCTTGATAATGTTGCCGGTACAAGATAAAAGCTGCAGTACTTTCCGTCAGATTGTGGTCATATTTAGCAACAGATAAGATCTTACCGTTTCTTGGCCTGGGGATCTTGGGGTCCGGTTGGCAGAGACAGAATTGCATGACTGACTCCTTTGACGCAGTTGACTTCACAGGACTGGAAGAGGAGGACCTCTCCGATTGAGAGGAGCGCTCTCGCACGGGCATGTCCTTGGTGGGCACTGGCGCCGCGACCTTGGGAGACTCGATGGGAGAATCGGAAGGGATCTTGCCCAGGGCGAGCTTCGTCCGATTCAAAGAGAGATGCACCTGAGGCAGCCCAGTTGCTGGTACGTCAGCAGTGTACCTGCACGAACCACCGTCGACAGGATGGTCTACCAGTGAAACTTTGGTAGTTGGCTCGTCGTTCATGATCTTGTGTTCAAGGAGGCTACTAGACCGTCTTGGAATAGGGACTTGAGGAGCGTCATAGAGCAAAGCAGGAGGTTTGGGAAGGACTCGATCGTAAGACATTTAAGAAAGTGGTAAGGAGCGAAACCGCCTTGTGATGGGCAGGAATAGGTCGCGGTGAGTCGGTTGAGGGAATAGGACATTAGATGAATAGATGACAAGGCGCAGGAGGCGATGCTGGTAGAAAAGCCCTAGACAGAATAGGACAAGGAACAAGAAGAAAGCCTGAACGAGAGAAAGAGAGCAAGCAAGAAAGAATTAGAGGTATAAGGTTAAAGAAAGACAAGAAAAGCCTCGTAATTCGCTGTCCCTAGTTTTATTTAGACCTTGATGCCTGTCAGACTATCAGTTGTGATTTGCTTGACTCCCGATATGGTTGGTTTCTTTTCTTTGGAGGCCCTTTGTCTTTGTTCTGTCACTTTCTCACGAACTTTTTTTACTTCTTTTCCCCCTTCTTTGACAATGAAATGGAGTTTTCTATTAAAGAGAGCCAACCGAGGGAGGGAATACGATTTGATAAAGCCAGGATTGGCGCTTTTTCCAAATTGCTTTGTTTTAAATCTATCTTTGGGTCTACTGAGCGCGCGACCCCCTGTTGGTGATGGGATCTACCTTGGCCCTACGAACCACGTTCTTTGTCTTTGGATGAATGACACATATCCCCTCGGATTGCTCCCTCCCCCCACTGTACACACCGTCTCTAGGATCAAACGGATGGAACATGATGGTCCGGCACCATGATCCAACAGAGAGGTGGACGAGCAAGTAACAAAGGAACTGCGGTTCTGGTTTGGTCAGGTAGCCATCAGGCTGGGGCGATTGTACAGTATGCCCGGCTGGGCTACGCCCTACATCATCACACAATAGAAGCAACCTCAGGCTGGTACCTCGAGAGCGACAGTCCAGTACTACTTGTACCTTTTCGCAGAAGACAAGATAGCCTGGATACGGAGCTAGGTACCTAGGAACGCCTGTTATGTGCTATTGACCAGGTCAGACTCGGCCACCCTCCTCGTTCTCCTGTCGCCATGTCATACCCTAAATTCAATAGTTACTTTACTTTACTTTGCTTCATTATTCTTTCAACTGGTCATCGCCATAATGTTGTTTCAATGTTTGGTCTGAGCTTTTCTTTTCTTTGTCTTTGTGGACGCATGCGGCGTGCCGTAGGAGAGACTCCGAGCCAATCACCGAAGACGGCCGCACAACCAATCAGTGGTTGAAATGGGTCCAGTGACATCCGCCTAAAGTAACGGGGAAGGACCCGGTCTGGCCCTTTAGCCTGCCCACTAACCCTAATCCAGCGAGCCTACTGATTACGTAGCTAAGGCCTAAGGTACCTTTGCTTTCCTGGAGGAGTTCATTTGCTGCCCCCTTATCGCTTCCCTGTGCTTCCCCCACCTAATGGTAGGACAAACACCCCCCCGGGCCCATTTGTTCTCATCACTAGCACCATACCGGAAGGTACTCATTGAAGGAGGACAAAGAGATATCGATGAAAGAAAACGAACAGAAAAGAAGATGAGAGATCGATTCTCCACTCGACCCCTTAGCCCACTTACCTACGGAGTACTCCGTACTAATCAGGGGATCTAGACTAGAAGCTCAACACGCCTGTAACGATTTTTACTTTTCATAGGTCGGCGGCAGGGTTTATCCAACTATCAGGAATAAAGGAGAGTATGTCTCCTTGAATTATGATACAGTCATGTTGCTGGCCCCTGCCAAGTTATGATCCATGATGCACCCCACTATCAATGTTGCACGTCGAACCGGGTGGAGCAGAAGTCAGCTCCTTCCGCATGAGACATACCACCTTGACCAGAACATTCGGTCTCGACCATGATGCTTTGTCGAGAATCGGACGGACTCTGTCTTTTGGCCCCGTCAAAGAAAGAAAACCCTAT